CCGCAAATGATGTTTTTCTGTCTCTTATAATGATGGTATTTTCACGCAACTGTTCGCCTTTTAGCGCAAATGAATGCGTATTTTCTCGTAACTGTAACGATGTTAATTTATGTATGTCGAGTTAATTTATACAGTTTACCTTACATCTGAGTTCCCGGATGGATTCGTTCGCCTCGCTTGATGTGCACTCGGCTTACAAGATTAAATGTTGTGTTTAGAGTCTCTGGTGTTTCACTGTCTGTCTTAGCGAACACGTTACATCGTGTCAGGAGTGGGATCCTGGTTCCTAAATCCGTTGCCATAGAGGAATTACCGCTCAGTGCACTGGAAAACGTTCTTGAGAGAAATTTACTCGCACACACGTGGCCGAACAACTTTGAACTGTTATCAAGTTCTAGAGGATTATAGTCTCCGGTCTCTACTGTGTTCCGCAATAGCCATCCAACAACTTCGTCACAAAGAATAGCGAAAGACAACGGTAAGTGGAATTGTCTTGTGTCTTCGGAAGGAAATCCCAGCTGAAGAAATCTAACTTATTAAATTCAAAATACAAAGTATGGCCGAGGGTAGCGGCGCTTCTGTACAAGCGCAAGAAGCCGTCGCACAACCAAGTCTGGTAGAAATCCCAATAAACATCCCATTGCCCTCAAAATTGGAGCTTACAGGGCATTTGGCGACGAACTAGGAGAAATTCCACCGTGCCTGGAGTAACTATGAAATTGCTGCACGTTTAAAAGATCCTGAAAACCCTACTGCAAACAAATATCTGAGGACTGCCACACTGCTAACCTGTATTGGCTCAGATGCTCTAGATGTGTACGAAGGCTTAGAATTTGTAGATGAAGCTGATAAGAAGGACATTGATGTTGTTCTCCAAAAGCTACAGTATTATTGCATAGGAGAGACAAATGAAATATACGAGAGATATCGATTTAACAAAAGGGACCAGGAGCCTAACGAATCTCTGGATGCTTACGTCACGGCACTGCGTACGTTGGCTAAGACATGTAACTTCGGAGTTTTAGAAAACAGTCTAATAAGAGACAGAATTGTCATTGGAGTAAGAGATTATCAAGCAAGCAAGAAGCTTCTACAAGTCTCCAAACTCACACTGAAAGAATGCATTGACATCTGTAGATCATATGAGACCGCAAGCCAACAACTGAAAGAAATTCATCGGGAGGAAGTCAGTGCCATTAGTCAGGCCAACGAGAACACACCTCCGCCCTCCATAGGAGAGAGAGAAATCCGCTGCAAGTTCTGCGCCAAAACACATGTTTGGAACAAGCTTAAATGTCCTGCATGGGGTAAGACATGCTCTAAAGGTGGAATTCAAAACCACTTTGCGGTGGCCTGCAAAACCAAACTGTCTCCACTCGCTTTGGCCACGTCCTCTAAACGCCCCACACCAAGACATGTCCGCAGGCCAGTCCATGCAGTGGAAGATTCTGACTTGGATGAATATGTTACTTGTGTCGACGTCAAGAAACAAGTCTGTACTGTGGAAAAGCCTAATCATAAAGACAAACTGCTTGCGGTTATGCTGTTAAATGGTCACCGAGTCCCATTCCAACTGGACACTGGTGCCACAGTGAACATCTTACCCGAAGGATCCTTCAAAGAAGTATATGGTGAAGACAGTCTACCCCTGCTGGACAATACAGAAGTAACTCTTGTTATGTACAACAAAACGGAGGAAAAGCCAATTGGCAAGAAACGTGTTCAAGTTGTGAACCCCAGAAATGGAAAAAAATACAGCGTGGAATTCGTAGTTGTAAAGGGGAAAGGGAAGCCGCTGGTTGGTTTAGGAGCCAGTGAGCAAATGCAACCCATATCTGTGGTCCGACAAAACATTATGGCTCTTCAAGCGGAAGAACCATCGCAGAGCAAAACACCACTTACGACGGAATCTATTCTCGAAGAATACGCCGATGTATTCAGAGGAGAAGGAAAGTTAGAAGGTGACCTCCACCTGGAAATTGACCCGAACGTACCACCAGTCCAACTCCCAACAAGAAAGGTGCCGATCGCCATTAAAGAAAAGCTAAAAGAGGAAATGAATCGCTTGGAAGACCTTAATATCATCACGCCAGTAAATGTCCCTACCCCTTGGATATCAGCAACTGTCGTCACCATGAAGAAGAATGGCAATGTTCGACTGTGTGTTGATCCCAAACCACTTAACCGAGCCCTCAAACGGAATCACTANGCATATGCATCCAGGTCCCTGACCCCCACAGAGGTCCAGTATGCGCAAATCGAAAAAGAGTTACTGGCCATAGTATTCGGAATGGAGAAGTTTGAAACCTACCTGTATGGAAGGAAAGTGCTGGTCGAATCTGATCACAAGCCCTTGGAGGCAATCTTCAAGAAAAGCCTCCTGAACGCACCCAAAAGGCTACAACGAATGCTCCTTAGACTCCAACGCTACGAGTTTGAAGTATCCTACAAAAAGGGAACCTCCCTTCTTATGGCTGATTCCCTGAGTCGCGCGTATCTGACGCCTAAGGAAGCTACTGAGGATCAGGAAGATGTCATGACAGTCTCAGATACTAGATCTCCAACAGAGATAGAAGCAGAGCAAGTGAACATGCTACAGTATCTTCCGGTCAAAGACGAAACTCTTCGCCAAATCCAAAACCTTACTCAAGAAGACGCTATCCTCAAGACCCTTGCTTGCGTCATCAAACAAGGCTGGCCAGAAAGTAAGCTCTATCTCCCACTGGAAGTTCAAGACTACTTTCCATTCAAAGAAGAACTTGCTCTCCAAAATGGAGTCATTTTCAAAGGAGACCGTGTTGTCATACCGTTTCAGATGAGAGCTGAACTCAAAAGAAAGCTACACTCCAGTCATCTGGGAATACAAGCATGCCTAAGACGGGCACGGGAAGCGTTCTACTGGCCTGGTATGAACAAAGAGATTGAAGAACATGTCTCCAACTGCCAAGTCTGCAATTCATACCACCAAGGGCAGCAGAGGGAGCCCATGATCTCACACCCAGTACCATCAAGACCGTGGCAGGTCCTTGCCGTTGATCTCTTTGAGCTCCAGGGCCAGGATTACCTTGTCACCACTGATTATTACTCAAATTTCTTTGAAGTGGACAAACTTGCGAGGAAGACATCAAAAGAAGTAATTGAAAAGCTCAAGCCTCATATGGCAAGACATGGAATTCCGGACAAGATAGTAAGCGACAATGGCCCCCAATTCAGCTCACAGGAATTTCAGACGTTCAAAGATTTATACGAGTTTGATCATGTAACAAGCTCCCCCACCTACCCGCAGTCAAATGGCAAGGCGGAAAACGAGGTGAAGACTGTGCAGCGAATCATGCTCAAAGCCTCAGAGGCTGGCAGTGATCCCTACTTGGGATTCCTTGACTTTCGCAACACCCCCACAGAAGGGCTAGGAGCGTCTCCAGCTCAGCGCCTCTTTGGCCGCCGTACCAAAACCCTCCTACCTACCTCTGGGCGACTACTAGCACAACCTGAATTTGACACCACTTCCCAGCTTCTTCAGGCCCAGAAGAACAAACAAGCCTTCTATTACAACAATGGCACCAAAGAACTCCAGCCACTTCAGCCAGGGAGCACCGTACGTATCCATCCACCCAAATATAAACAACAATGGACCCAAGCAACGGTTGCCAAACAAGTTGGTATACGCTCATACCAAGTTACCACTGACGACGGACGGGTGTATCGTAGGAACCGCCGACACCTGCGTCTCACAGCCGAACTCCCTAAACAATCACCTCTTGACATAGAGATACCTAACTCAGGTCATGGTCCCCTGCCCCTGATCAAAGTTGAACAGGTACCACCAGTCATTGAATCAAAGCCCCAAGAGATGGTCAAGCCACAAGCAACACCGAACCCTCCAGCTGATGACGTAACGAGTCCAGAAAGACGTAGCGCTCGGGGAAGAGTCCTACGTAGACCAGCGTACCTCCGTGACTATACATGCAGACACTTACCTATGTTGTTTATATTCTCCGAACAATGCCTCTAAGAAACGATTTAGTTTTTCTCCTTGTTTATTCTTTCCTCTTTGAATAACGGGGGAAGATGTAACGATGTTAATTTATGTATGTCGAGTTAATTTATACAGTTTACCTTACATCTGAGTTCCCGGATGTATTCGTTCGCTTCGCTTGATGTGCACTCGGCTTACGAGATTAAATGTTGTGTTTAGTCTCTGGTGTTCCACTGTCTGTCTTAGCCAACACGTTACAATTCTGCGCAAATGCTAATTTGAGATCGCAGCTTTATTACTTAGAATAAAGATTTTTTATTACATTTTATGGCGGAAGTTTTCTCTATGTGAATAATACCAAATTATTTCAACCGAATATGCCCGTGGGAATATTTCAAGATTAAAGCTCGCTGTAGCTTTTGACATCTCTATTTGTGAAGGCCGCATAACAAACTGATCAGACTTCGACAGTCTATATCTTCTGATGTGCATCTAGACCAAGTAAAAACTGTAAATAAATTAAACTGTTACAGTGGAATTAGGATTTCAGCGCTTCTACTGTACAATATATACAGTTGGGAGCGGATAAAAACTTTGCAGATATTTTCAAAGGCCATCGTTGCTTTAGCCTTGCGCGTTGAGTCGGGTTTGAGTGAAAAGTAAAAGTATCGAATAAAACCATATTTGTTTTGTCTTACCTGTTAAATCCTCGTCAAACCCTTTTGAAGGCAAATAGAGCTATTCAAGAAAATAGATATCAAAAAAAGTTGCTTTAAATTTGGCCGAATTCAAGCGTATCCAGAAATGTCAATTTCCCAGCACTTACCGCGACCACACAAAGAAATGAAATTATCATTATTGGGTTCTACCAATTTGCCTTATCGCACGATGTGGCGCAACCTTCTCCCTCGTCTGAACAATAATTCTTTGGATCTGCATGCAGCTGCTGCTCTCCGAAGGTGTTTTTTAACTAAGTGATCTTTATATTGCTTATGTTTTTTGCACAGATCCGCTTCCCTATTAAGTGTACACAGCTTGACATGGGAAGATCGTTTTTTGACAGGCTGTCAGCCATGTTATTACGTACGTTCTCTTTTAAAGAAAATTCAAAGGCAGTCGATTCTATGGTAGCAGTGTGTTTTCTTGACTGTGTAAACATTGTTATCTTGAGGGGACGCAAATCGTCTGCACTGCAAGTATCCCGGAAAGTCCCATACATTTTCTTAGACTAAAAGTCTAAGAAAATGTATGGGGCTTTTTGAGCGCTCCAGGCAGCTTTCCTGCGAGGCGTCATAATCTTGTTGCTGCTGACATCGATGTGACAGATAATAGCGCTGCGCGCCAGGTCTAAAAATAGATATGTCATCTTTGGACCTCCCGCTGGTTTAGGACAAACACTCGGAGTCTTTACAAGGACTTGTATGCGAAACGTGTCAGAAGCAAGACTATTTTCGCTCAAAAAATGCTCTAACTTTCTAAAATGGTTGCAACTAGGCATTGCTGTTGGGTACATGTAAAAATGACTCAAGATATCCAGAAAGATTGCCAGATTCGCTTAATCCGCCTAAAGAAATGCTTAAAAA